TATCAACCAAAGACTTAAGACTAAAGGATAAGGATTTGAACAATTAAAGGTAACCATATGACCTTCAACAATTAGCAAAAAAACCCAAACCATATAGTAAGCAGGCCATAGAATAAAAAAAATGTGAAATAATTCAATAGAGAAAACCAACAGTCTGATCTATACTTGTACTGTAAATAATGAATGAAAAAATATTTTAATGTTATACATCAGTCATCAGTTCCATATAATATTGTTTTTTAGATAAGCATATTGCATAACATTAAAGAATTATTTTTAAATTCGCACTCACCTACAAAAGCAGAGGGCAATATGAATTAGAAATTGTTCCTTTGTATTTTTGGAGTTTTAGTTCTAGACAATGGACAAATTTGCAGTGCAATTAAAAATCATGCTTAATTCAATGCATAGTTCTATAAGGCACTTAACATGCTATGTTGTAGGAGTATTGGGTACAGGTGTACTGGGAGTGTAACAGAATGGACCAAATGCCAATATAAAACACAGCATCCATCCAGGAAGGCTTTTAAAATACCTAAAGAATACCATGATGTAGAGGTTTTGTAAGTAAATGATTGTACTATCTCATAATATAGTCTACCTTTTGCCTCTTCTGTATGTCTTATGATAATGTGGTGATTGAAATATAGCAATATACTATATCATAATATTGTCTTTAGTTCCCTTCTCTTTGTCTGAAATATAGCAATATACTATATCATAATATTGTCTTTAGTTCCCTTCTCTTTGTCTGAAATATAGCAATATACTATATCATAATATTGTCTTTAGTCCCCTTCTCTTTGTCTGAAATATAGCAATATACTATATCATAATATTGTCTTTAGTCCCCTTTTCTTTGTCTTATAGTAGTGGGCTATAGGTAATATTAAATACCTAAATTCTGCTGGAATAGGATCTACAGTTCAGCAAGATCCATATAGTCAGTTGAATGCCTGCCTTAACATATTGATGATTTTAGTCCAATTTAGCCATCATATGAAGTGTATGCTGTAATTTATCTTTCAGAAAGAAATACAAGTATGTAAAGAGGGACAGAGTATTTCCTAAACGAGTAGCTGGTGATGATGATGATGGCCCTGTCAGTTCCTCTCTAGATTCTACAGACTCAGGGTAGTTTTCTTTTGTTGTTCATCATATGAATTAATAATGGTTCAGGCAAAAAAACAAACAACTGTTTTTGTAAAAAAAGACAGAAGGCATCTAGCTGGCCTTGTATATTATATGCCTGATTGTTTTTTCATATTATTCCCTTTCATGTGAAGCACATTATATACGAACATGCAATATGCAAATATATTCAGTAGCCGACCCAACCAAATCAGATATATCAGCTATAGTTATATTTTTTCAAAACACAAAACCCTTTCCTAATTATTTCAATGTAAATTTTATCATGCACATGAATATCGGAAAAAAGAATATATCGTCAAATCAGATAGGAATATTCATGAATATTCTGTCAAAACCATATAATGAAACAAAATGTGAGCCAGGATGTACTGTACTTTTGAGAAATCAAAGCTATTTATAGCTTTTTTTTTTAACTTTTGATTTTTTTATTTCCAACAATTACAACATATACATGACATTCATACAATATAATACATATAAGATATATACAATGTCATTATTATAAATACATCTATTTATAGCTTTTGTTTACTGTGAATTTTCGCCACATATATATATAGAAAACTACTTGGTTTATGAAATAAATAAAAACACAATATATGAATAGTAGATATTTATTCACATAAATATTCACATAAATATAACAGTACATTTGGTTTATATTAATAAACAAAGAACTGAAAAGCAAAAAACAAATATAAGCATAACATAATCAGCTGATCATCTTTTACACAAACATCATGTTGATGTACCTGAAAATTAGAGAAAGAAATCACTCTAACCTTTTTTAAGTGTTTCTCTTATTTATTCTACATATCAGTGGTCAGGGCTAGTAACATATCAGTGGTCAGGGCTAGTAACATATCAGTGGTCAGGGCTAGTAACATATCAGTGGTCAGGGCTAGTAACATCTCGGGATTAGGTAAAGTTCAATTTACAAATATACGTTTATCCTGTGATTGATATATCAGTAAATGGGATTTTTTATAAAAAAACTTTTAAAGTATCCCGATTTGCAGGAGTCTACTGTACTGAAAGAAAGTAATCGGTATAATTAACCATTTTGATTCATCTTTATAACTGTTTATACTTATAAGGAAGACAAAACCATTGGAAGGAATGAAGTTTGTAATTGGAAAAACAGAAAAGTCTAAAGGAGAGATAACAAAAGAGTTACAGAAACTGGGTGGCCATGTTGTAACCAAGGTGACCTCTGATACTGCTGCTGTCATAAGTTGTAAAGGTATCCCATAATTCTGGTACCAAATTTAGTCATAATTAAAAAAAAGTAAAGTTTAATCTATTTTATGTGAATTGGGCTTACCGAATTCAGTTGTGTATTGTCCGTGGTCTTTTACTTCTATATTAAAATTGCCAGGTAGGAGTGTGGATTATAGAAAATTAAAGCTACACTTGAGAGAAAACCAGATTTTGTAATGATTGTTTATGTTCAGTCATGTTTATTATTGAAATTATAGAGGCCACCCTTATTTCTTTTCAAAAACTCGAATAATTTACCTAATCCATAAACTTATCTGGAATATGAACCATGTGTAAGTGTCAGCAGGGAACCAGCTTTAATATGCATTATGATATATAAAGTACAATTGTTATAGGTTATTCTTTCAGTTTGGGTGTTTCATACTGCTGCATGTGTTTTGTTTTCGTTAAAGGCCCTTCAACTATTAATATGATGAATAAGTTTAACAATATTTCACTAAAGGACAGCACTGTTTGACTTTCTAAGTCGCATTCTTTTGTTATTTTTCACATACTGTATTTGTTTGAAATTGACACATTCTTTTCCATGTTTCATGAATTCCTGTGGCACAAAAGGGTGTGTGGACGATGTTCCAATAGAGGAATTATACACAGCCGATTTCAGTAGTCTGTTCATAATTTCGATTCTTTAAACTACATTTTGTATAAAAATGAATAATAAGAGATCCTCAATGTGACAGGAACCCAATATTTACAGTAGATTCAGAATAGTCAAATAACATTAACCCAACAAGTAGTAGACAAGTTTGATGATGGTCTGAATTGTCATATTTAAACTGTACATTCATTAAGCAAAAGATCTCTGAAATAAATGGTGAAAATATGAAAGAAGTGTACACCATGGCAATTTTCCCTTCACACAATATTCTAGTAAGTACATGTATTACTTTTTGTTCCCTTGTATTATAACACAAACATTGTCATTTTACCACCAGCTGAAGTAACGAAGAAAAGCACCAATATAAAGGATGCAGAGAAGGCCAATATACACGTTGTAGACGAAGACTTCCTAGACAGTGTACAGAAAGGAGGGGCGTGTCTTATGATCCAGAAACATAATATTGTGTCCTGGGGAGCTGATGTAAGTTAAATCTGTCCATAGGGAGGGGCATAAAGTGGAGTTCCTACCTAGACAGTGTACAGAAAGGAGGGGCTTGTCTTATGATACAGAAACATAATATTGTGTCCTGGGGCACTGATGTATGTTTAATCTGTTACAGTGTTGTAACATTGTCATGGATCTTAAAAATGTTAAGTTTATGAGATACTTGTAGTAAACCTTCATCTCTAAGACTTTCAACATAAAATCAATGGTCAATAAAGCAGACAAGATATTTCAGCATGTGCACTCTTTTTATGCCCCCGCCATAGCGGAGGGGGCATCAAGTTTTACCCTTGTTCGTCCGTACGTCCCAAAATTGGTTTCTGTTCTCGAACTTTAGTTTACCTCAACCAAATGTTATGAAACTTATACACAATGCTTATTACTACAAAACACAGATCAAGCATGAATTTTGGTGGTGTCACTTTTACCGTTCTAGAGTTATGCCCCTTTACAAAAGAAAAAATTGCTGAATTTTTCGTTTCCGTTCTCTAACTTTAGTTTGCCTCAATTAAATGTTATGAAACGTATACACAATGCTTATTACCACAAAACTCAGATCAAGTACAAATTTGGGTAGCATCACTTTTACAGTTCTTGAGTTATGTCCCTTTTAATGTTATATGCAAGCGGGGGCATCATCTGTGTTCCATGGACACATTCCCCATTTATTTTTTTTCTTATAAGGAAAATGGAAGCATTAAAGTCAAAACATTATAATGTAAAAAATGAAAGGTTTTATAATTTGATTTAATCAAATGGTATCCTTATTTATAGTTATTGGCTTAAGGAATTATCACCTTTATTAACATTGTGTTTGCTGATGATTGGGCATGTCAGCATATTTAATTTTTGTATTGATACAAGTTATGTCAGTATATACCTTATGTACAATTATATAGCAGTAAAGATTATGTGCACAAGCCCTTGTTTTAATATTGAATTGAAATTTACTTATCACACAGAGAAATAAACTTTTTTTTTCAGCCATCTTCCAGAATTGTTCCAGCTTCTAGTAAAAGTATGGGAAAGAGCGCCTACAGACAGAAACAAGATGGTAACTTCTATTCAGGGCTTCAAACAAAAAATAACTAGTTAGATATTTTTCTATCCTGTTTTTAACCTCTTACATTTGTAACTGTTGACATTTAAACCAAGCAAGGCAGTGTAAAGATAGATTTACAGGGTTGGCAATATATTCTTTTTGGGTTGAAATTGTTTAAAATTGAAAAGATATGATATTTATAGTTTGCTTCTGTAACAAGGCTTAAATTGAAATTATGAACAAAAGTTAGTTAATAAGCAAATTTCTCTCAAAATTATCAATGTAATGCTATATCTTGCCATTTTGTCTTAGTAGAATTGTACTAGAAGTACAAAATTTAATTCAATTTTTGATTGCTCACAAATAAAACCTGAAGAACAAAACATTGAAATAACTTTGCCTTAAGTATAATTTAAATGGAAGTTTATGGATACACATCTGACAATTTAGTACAGGTTAGGTGTCACTGAAAGCTTCCTATAGAAAATCTCTCTCTGATGACTACAGTATATCTAGGTAATGCTGTGGACAGATACGGAGTGTACAATAAAATAACTAAACCAAAAATACTGAAAAAAAATAAAAAAATAATTAGCTAAGATATTAATATACACATGTATCAGGGTACTTTGTTTGTGAAAGCTGTGACAATAAGGTAATTGTAACATCTTAAGACTAAAAAATGAATTATCAATATAAATTTTTTTTTTTTAAAGTCTTGAATACTATAATTTATCAGCTTTTAATGGGAACGTATCACTGAATTAATTTTTTTTGAAATAAATATAGGTGATCCAGGATATACTGTCAGGAAAAAAGAATGCACACTTCTTCTAGTACTTATTATACTACATGATTCAAAGTAGGAAGAGTATATAGTGTTTGACCTTTTTGTCCGTCAGTCATTTTTGTTTCTGAACTCAAGTACTTTTTATTGGATTACAACCTCACCAGGAAATATAGTTTCATATATTGGCAGGATGATCCCTATTGATTTGGCTGCAGAAATATACAGTCAGATATGGTCTGATTAGATGATACAAGATTCCAACTCACATATTTTAAAACAAAGCATTGAAACAATGTTTCGATTGCTGTGCTTCATCTCAAAGTAACAGTTAGGCTTTCAACATGAAACAAAAGCTCTCACACCTCAGTGCAAGTTTGATGCCTTCTCCCACAGTTTGGAGCTGAATTCTTTTGCTAGATAAATCACTGTAAGCATTGTGGTTGTTTAAATCCATGGCATGTGTTGTGATAGTTACATACTTATTGCATGTTGGAGATCTCTAACAGCAACAATGTAGAGCAATGCCTGTGTGACCTGCTGTGTTAGAGGTAAGATCTTTTACCTTGATTAATTCCTCCTTTCCTGTAGTAACACAAATCAGCAAACCTCCTCCAGATTCACTGGATCTTTTTAATGTATTGGATGTATTCGAAACAACATTGAGTTGTACTGTCAAGTTCTAATTGTTTTACTGTGATATAATACTGTATTTCAGAGAAACATTTTACTAAGAGTATGCCAACAACAATGAAGATGAAAGTAAAAGGAGGGGCAGCTGTTGACCCTGATTCAGGTAAATTTATTGAGATATTTCATCAACCTTAAGGTAAATATAGGAATTTGGGCAGTATATCTGATTTAATGAAATTCTATAAGTATTTAGATCTTGGTGAATTGTTTCTGAATGTCACAAAATTGATATATATATATAGAATTTATACTTCCAGAGATACATTAAATATAATTTGGTTGTGTTTTTCTCTGGAACTACAAACAAAGGCTTCCTAAAATATGGTATCAATCTTTATGTTTATGTTACATACAGTAGAACCTGGTTGGGGTCAATGCCGTTTTTATCATAGCCTTTTACATTTAGAGATAAGTGTCAGTTAATGTGAATTTTAATATCAGTATATTTTGAAGAACCCCTAAAAAAATGAGCATTAGTTTACCCTGTAGTGTTAGATATCAAGGAACAATACAATTTTAAAAGTTTGTTTTTGATGTTGTAATAGTGCAGTGTCAAATATAAATAGATTGGAATATGTTTTGATGTGCAGCCAAGAAAGTGTCCTCAAAACTATGTATGTCAATTTGTTTCCATAATTAATATAAGTTAGAATTTCACTGAGAAATATATTTCTGTCTGTTCAGCCATGCTATATACATCGTTAATGTTTTACTAGGTTTGGAAGACAGTGCACATATTGTTGAAAGTAAAGGAGATATATTTAACTCAGTGTTAGGATTAGTAGATGTTGTAAAGGGAACAAACTCTTACTATAAGATCCAGGCTTTGGAGAGTGACAAAGGTGGAGCGTAAGTATGATACTCAAGCAGCAATGATCATATACTTCCATCTTAATTATACATTGTGTATTTCTGGGAATATATTGTAGTGGGTATTGAAATATTGTAGTCAACAAAAAAATGATGATCCAAGTTCATTATCAACAAACTTAAAAATTGAGCTGTTTATTTTTGGGATAAGATTGCAGCTATCTGAAGACCTCTAACATTGACTGACATTTATTTCTACTTTTCAAGACTCTTGCATCAACTGTTTTGTGCTGTACATTAAGGAACAACTCAGATTCTTCAGATTGTTTTGTTTAGAAGAGTAAACAAACAGATTGAATTTAAACAAAAATCTGTTAATTTTTTTCTTGAAATCCTAATTTTTTTTCTTTCTCGAAATCCTCATGTTTTGATATCTCCCTTTTTTATGTGTGTTTATTTTACAATACGGAAAATCAGTATTAAGCAAGATCTATATTTAGCATGACATCAATATAGGAATTCTGCTGTGTTCTATTGTTCAATTGAAATGAAACTATTTTGATCAAATAAGCACTGAAGTGGTGTTGTTCCAATCAGGTAACCTTTTTGAAACTTTGATGTTGAACTTCCATAAGGAAATGGAAACCACAATTGATGTATTGTCCTCAATCAAAACATAATCCAAACTGTTTATGTATTTAAGGACATGCATAGTTGAACTGATTATATAATACCTTGCGTTGCTTCGATTAACAGAAGACTCGACTAATTTGTTGCTCTGGGTTACTCAATCCGATGATTGATTTGCAACTCAAGAGATCAAAGCTGTGTTTTTTTACACTTTTATCCACTAAAAGTTCACCATTTACTACAAAAAATATAGTTATCACTTGTAGAAAAACAACATTTAGATTGAATCAAATAGAGAGTACATGTGCAGTTGAATATTTTTGAGAAAGAATGCTAATCTCAATGAAAATAATGGCGATATTACTCCTCAGAGCCATCAAGCTCTTTGTTTGTTATGCCCGATGTATAATCAAAGATTTGTTAGCATTGCATTGTAAAAAAGATCCAGTACATAACACTCATAAAATTTCAGGAATCTAAATAACAACAACTCTTTAAAACATGGAATAATTAGACTAAGTAGGGTAAAAAAAAATCCAGATTTAATTAAATCTTATTTTTATTAGATAACATTAATTAAACTATTGTAGATGGTGGTTATTCCGTGCCTGGGGACGTGTGGGAACAACAATAGGAGGTAACAAACTGGAGAGATGTGGTTCCCAGAATAGTGTTATATCACAGTTTAAAGCTTTGTTTGGTGAGAAGACTGGCAATGACTGGGAAGATAGGAAAGATTTCAAGAAAATACAGAACAAATTTTATCCATTAGAAATAGATTACGGTGATGTATGTAACTCATTGAAATAGTCAGCAATAACTCTCTAGAATAGTAAAGTCAAACTTCAGTTAGAAAATTTACTACACTTTCCTTTGCAGATTCCTTTTTCCATCCATATCAAAATCATTAAAAATGTTTATATAAAAAAGGAGAAAAAAAATCAGTACACCATCTAAAATTGAAATATCAATGGATTATCCAACTAGCTAAAAACTTGGCTGGATCATAAAACCAACGATGCTTTGATCTTAAGACAGGAAACAGAGTATGAATATCCTTTTAATGAAGATTTTAGATTTTGACTGCTTATGTTAATGAAAATAACACTTTATAAGTAAGGTATATCTGAAGTGATTGTATGGATTTTCCTTCATCACCATGGCTTGAACCAAAAATTTTGAAAGTCAAGTATGTATAAGTACCTTAATAGGGGAGGAGCTACATGACCTATAAAAAGCCTAATTCATCTATAAAGGTCATAGTCTAGTATTAACATTGAAGTAATTATAGTGCTTAATGTTGAAGTGAAGTGGTGCATTCTCTTCTCATGATACAACACCAATAGTTTCTATCATCCATTGCCCTACACAGACATGTAGATCTCTTCTCATGATACAACACCAATAGTTTCTATCATCCATCGCCCTACACAGACATGTAGATAAAATAACACCAAATCTGTCCAGAAAAAACAAAAATGTTCTATAAGACAGTTTTTTAAAGCAATTGCTTTTATGCCATCGCGTATGGCCATCTTTGTGACGCAAATCAGAGACTCCACCCAGATCAAGCCATAGTATTTTGTTAAACAGGCTCCTGGTGTGTCATTCTTAAACACCTATGTATGTTTTCTAATGCAACACATAGCTTGAAACTTTTGAAAAATGTTAGTGGATTAAAGAGGTTTCAGCATATGTTCTTGTAGATGTATTTTTGTATTTAGGGGGACAACCGTTTGACTATCAAAAAACATAGAAGTCTGAGTGAAAAAAAGTGCATTTTTATACCTGCGATTCCGTTCTCCTTTCGTACGATGTTTCAACAAAATATGGAATCATTTCAGTTGTTGATTTAGTATTGAAAATTTTACTGAATTATCTCTTATTAAATACGGTTTTATATGTTTAATTGGTGTTTCTCTAAGAAAGAGGCCAGGTGCTCTTGTTCATTCATAAAATTATCGTTCATTCATAAATTTATCGTAAAATCAAAATCACTACACAGGTTATACGTAGTGTCAAATGATTACCTGTAATCTAAAAATAGACAAACTTAACTGACCTATTTTGTTGATTTGTTTGCGCAAATAATTTAGAGGAACGAAACCCTTGTTAAAAACACATAACAATAAGTTCGTTTTCCTTTTTTGTCATAACTCTGTAAGATTAATCGATCACCTTACTAATGAAATGGACCCGTCAAAACATGATAGATGCCAACTCCAGATGAAGAGATATTTACCATTTGGAATTTTCTAGTTTCATAGATTGAAAAAAAGTACGTCCAGTTGGATATCATAATCAAAACTGGGTATGCATGACAAATGATGAAACCATTATCCTCGTCTTTCCAGTGGACACGTCTACTACGTGTGTTGACACTCGACGGTCCACCGTGTTTGCAATTTTATTTCACATGTTTTCGAAATATTGAAGATAATTTTTCGCAATGTTTCCTGAAAATTGATAAATATCAAAGCAACGAAGAGCTGTTTGTTCTTGTTCGTATAATGACGATTTAATGTCATGTTTGTCTGTGATGACCCCCCTTTTCAGGATTGCATGAGAATTATAGTTATCTCTTACCACATGAGGATGACACATATCAACTGAGCAATAATGTTTGGGA